TGGCAAAACAAGTGGGTCATTGACTTATTCCTGTCAGTGCTGATCTGTCACACCTAGGAAGTTACCAGCTTTCACAGCCCTCCACTTGGAAGACTGATATTTTGACAGTATTTTTTCCTTAAATGTGAATGGAAAGAACAGTATTTAATTCCTGTGTGTGAGATTTTGATTGCATCTGTCTTGACCTTTTATAATTTCATTTTGAGACGTTAACATTACAAATAAATGGCATACTTGTAAGTGTGTAGGTATTACCTAGGTATTTTCTGTACATAAATTGTATAAATAGCTTACATTGCACAGTAAAAAAAAAAAGTCACACATTTCAGTGCATTTAACATTTTCAGTCTTTTGGCACTCAATATTACTCAATGTTGAGCATAGCTCTCAAACACTTCTATAATATGTCTTTGAGAAATCTTCTAAAAAGAGGTTGCAGAGCATTTTTGATTATTACAGTTACTGCCAACAAAAAATGGTTCCCTTCCCTGAAGAATCTGCCAAATCAAAGGTGAGGAAGGTGCCCTGGTGCTGTGCAAAACTTGTACGAGTAACAGTGCGAGCGGAATCTCAGCTGACCACACAAGAGGGCATTTAAGCAATCACAAAACATTTGCTATTTTCTAATTACAACTAGCACGTTCTTAGCAGGATGATGCATTTAATAAGAAGTCATTCACTAGGAATTTGGTTTTTTTTTTAATGTTTGGAAGTCAGACGGTGCCCTCTGCTGGGCATAGGCACCCCAGCACTAGTTTGCAAAGTGCCCCAAATGTTGACAAGTCGTGAAAATGAACACAAAATCTGTATTGTTCTGCTCAAGATATTCGCTGGTTTCAAGGAAGAACACCTTGTTGTCCCTTCTTGCATTCTGCTCTACTTGGAAGCGTACTATGCAACAAAAATGGGTCCGAGTTTGGATGGCAAAGAGCTTTTTACTAATTAAATTTGAACCCAATTGGCTTGAACTGAGTGTGACTTTATCACATTGAGCAGCAGAAGCATGTAGTGCTATTCCAATTTTTACAAAAATAAACTCAATACTGTAAGAGCATATTCATCAGAAAAGAGGGTGATGGAGAAAAATGCAGTTGAATTTACTTCTTATGTGTTCTCTTGTGTGTATTTATTGCATTATGTCACAGTTTAAAAATGTATAATTATACTGAGATGTCAAAAGTGTTATTTTTTTCTTTATGCTTTCTTTAAGTTGCTTTGGTTTTTCTGTTTGTTGTTTCGAGGCGATGTCAATAAAAATAGCAACACTATAAATTTCACTTAATAATTCTATTCTGATCTTTGGATTTTTCCAGGGTCCATTAAAAAAAATATGAAGAAAAAAAAACCACAAAAAAACCTCAACAAACAAACCCAAAAAAAAAAAATTACCCAGGATGCAACTTGAATTTGCATCTTAGAGCAAACAGGACAGATACAGATGAATTTCCCTAGTAATTTAATTGAAAACACTTAGTAAATTTAAAATGCAAAATTAAAATCCTTCAAAAACAGACTGTAAAACTGTAGCAATCCAGCATTAACAGGAAAGTTTAAACTAATGGCATAGAAAACATTATATATACTTTCATGAAACTTGTATGACTTTCAGCTCTCTCTAGTTTTTCTCAGTGCGGAAAACACATGGAGAGAAACAGTCGCCTAAGGTTAACTGTGAGGGATTTGTATTAATTGATTGACAAGTTGTTTATACCTTAGCTTAAAGATGAAGCAAAGCAGCTCTTGTATTTATTATATGTTTCATGTTTTCTACAAATCTGCAGACTTTTAAAAGCAAATTGTCCATGCAGAGCAGCTGCTTGGTGCCACAATAGAGATTGTCTGTCTGCTCACTTCAAAGCTGAACTCCTAGGGAAAAATGCAGCCCCCCCTACAGCATTACTCACTCTCTCTCTCATGAGGACAGCTCTGGAGTAGAGATCAAGATGTGCTCCCAAAATGCTCTGTCCATTCCTAGCATGGCCCTGCAGCCAGGTTTTATTTACAAGTGCCTGCAGCTGGAAGCCTCTTTGCTTCACCAAGGGAGCTCTGTGCCCTCTGCACAAAGCTGTGAGTCCTGGAGTAACAGACCCCCTAATTAATGGTCACAGTTGGTCATTAGCTGGTCACTGAATCTTCCTTGATGGCCAGCTAATGACCATCCCACTGGGTTATTGTGAAGGTTAGTCGAGATGGACAGTGCAGGTAATTTATAGCTGAAGCCTCAGCATGTTAATGATCTTTCCTGAGTAACTGCAATCAACACGGTACTACTAAGTGGCATTACATTCTTCCTAATTTATTTCTCACTTGCAACCATTTCATGTTGAATGGAGACTTCAGATTCTACATTTAAAGATATGTTTGCATGTTTTATTTAGGGGGAAAACTTATTTAAGAATTAAATAAAGAAAACAACCTTAATCTTAAAACCTCTCTTTTAGATAAGTTTTGCCCTTATCAGAAGATGCTTATATTTAAAAAACAAATCCGTGCTCATAATATTCATCTATAAAAGGCTCAGAAGCCCAACCAGATAAAAAATCATCTCTCAGGGGTACCTGTTAGCTGCAGTAGCCTGGAGAGCTTTGATGGCTCAGCACCTGTGGTGTCTAATCTCTGTGAATCATGGATAAATTGGCCAGAAGTTACAGCCTCTCTAGCTGTTATCTTGCCAACTCTTAAAAGCTGTAAAGTTTCAACCAAGCCTTGGCTTGCTAGGAAAGCTCTGGAAAAAGCCCAAGAAGCGGCAGTGATGCATTAGGTAGCACTCTAAGTCTGGTGGATAATGCCACAGGGGTTGTCCAATTATCACAGAAACCTGCTTTGGCTTTACATGTGCAGGTACCTCCTCCCATTTCAAGAGTGCACAGATTCCAAGACATTCATAATCCTTTAAGGTTTTATATTCTCATTTTCACAAGTTCAAGCATCATAATTATGATGCAAAATAAAAACAAAAGCAAACCCCAAAACCAAAACCAAAACCAAACAACCCCACCCACCCCCACTCTCCACTTGGTATATATGTGCAGCGCAACTGCTGTAGGAAACTGGGTTAGCATGGCAAGGAACCAAGAAATTTATCATGTTCCACTACAGCTTTTTATGCATTTGACACACATTAAGTGGTGTCCCCATGCTCATCTCATTCCCTTCAAATGGCTTCAAGATTTAAAAAAATCTTTCCCCCAGTGATTCCAAATTGCACTTCTTGAGCCATGAAGAGAGTGAGAAATTTGGTTTCCAGGGTGGTGTCCTGACCATCATTCCCCGGGGTGTGAAAACAGGAGCTATGATTGTCTTTAGAAAGAGAGGTTTTGCCCTCTCACTGAAGATACTTATATTTGGCAACTTTGCTCTAGAATAAGTGAGATTATTAAAATTTCTCATTATTCAGAGATTCCATTTCATAGTTTTTGATTATGAAGGTGACCCTTCTCTCCATTCTAGTTTCAAGTACTGGAATACTCCTGTCTACTTAGCAGGCATTGATTGCAAAAGGTATGGTAGCAACCAAACCTTCCTGAAATGGCTAAAAGAAAATGAGATCCTAAAGTTCCAAAACAGATTGTGAAAGTAGCAGAAATTATATTTGCCTTGATGTTGCACATTTGGAACAAAAATTTTTGATTCTGTACTTTTCATGGCATGGATATGAGAGTTCAAGCCAGTCATTTATAAGACATTTATAAGACACTTATTGTCATAGAAATGTGTATTTATTAGTAATTTATAAGACATTAATTTAATAATGTTATGACTTTTTGTTACACAGAATCCTGCATTTATCTTCTTGCTAAAAGTTAAATATGAAATTCAAGTGTTAATGTTGTATGTTTAAGAAGGACCAGGTCCTGACCCAAAATAGTGTATTTTGAGGAAATTAATTAAACACAGATGTGCTTATGGCATCTTGATACAGATGAAGTAGTGCTAAAAATGCTTTCCTCTTATTTTTTGTCCAGGAGCTATGGTCTGTCAGCTTTAAAGTCCAAAATTTTAAAACTGAAGGTGTCATTAAGATATGAACTTGGTCTCAGCAGTAATATAAACTCCAAGGAAATTTTCTCTTCAGGGGGAAAAAGACCACTTCCTAAATCCCAACACCTCCTTAAGTTACTGTGTAATTATCCCCTAAAGAAATGAATATGGAAGTTCAGAAGAGTTGGTGCATGTTGAGACAAATCTCTTTGCAGCAGTGAATGGGAGATCTTTGGTTGTGTCTGTCCTCTTGCTTTATCCAATCTTACCACACACAAAAAGTGTGCAAGTTGCCATTTCAATCTCTGCATGTGCTCAAGATAAAGCCCAAAGCCAGGTAGTACAAACACAATGTAAGGTTCCCTAAAAAAATAGACAAAGTGAAGGCATATTAGTTTTTTAAATCCTTATTATAATGATTAAATAAGTATCGCTGTACATATATATGAAATTTCTATTCCCTGCATGCACTGCATGCTCTGCTAATGGTTCTTCCCATTCTAATGGCTTATAATGCTCAGAAGTAGTTCACATGAGCTTTTTTCAAGTGTCAGTGCTTTAAACTTTCCTGCTAAACTATAACAATGAGCACATGTCTTTCTGCCAGATATCTCTTGGGAATGGAACTCTACAGGAATATACCAGCCTCTGCAGAAACCATTGCAAGGCTGAACCAACATAGATATAGTTGCACATCTATATTACCTAACTTTTTTCTTTTTCTGAGAAAAAATAGAAATATTTTGTTAAGTTAGCTCCTTCTGAAAAGACATAGTCTCTGATATCCTTATCAAACAGAAAATGTATTGAAAAGTAACTAATCCTGTTTTTACATATAATTTAATTTAATTTCTATTGTATTTATTTTCAGAAAATGTATTGTGTCAAGACAAGCAGATAATCATGGACACTTTCAACAGCAACTGGGAATTGAGGAGCTCTCTGGATATTTTGGTTTTTAAAAAGCAACTGACCTAAGATTTTTAAATAAACGTATTTTCTTACATTCTTTTCAACAGGTGGTTCTGCTAATCTAACTTGTAGAGCTTTCTTTGGATACAGTGGAGATGTCAGTCCTTTAATCTACTGGATGAAAGGGGAGAAGTTTATTGAAGATTTGGATGATAATCGAGTCTGGGAAAGTGACATTAGGTAACAGAAAAAGGATTTTCTTTTTTCTCTATATTTTTTGATAGTTAATGTCATACATTTTATCACAGACTAGCCAAGGAGCACATTGAGTCTGATTTTTTTTTTGTTTTGCAACATCATATATTTGCTTTTTGACTACACCACTAGAGAACAGAAAAATGCCCTCCTCATCCAAATATGATGTTAGAGATTTGCAAAAGCAGAATAGCTACCCAAAAAGAGCTGTAGTGTTGACCAGCTGGAATTTACCTAGTGACCTTTTCAAAATGTGGCAATCTACAAAAACAGCTATGAGGATACTTAGTAAGATTAAATAATTAAAAATAAATATCTTCAGAAAATCAGCTCAAAAAATTATTTTCAAACATGAAACCTTAAATAAATGTTGTAGTTTGACTTCCCTTTTGGAATGTTTTGATTTCTTAATGAAAAAAACTGTTTCCTGGGATGTTATCTGACTTGTTAGAGCCAAGCATCCTGTTATGTGGGCTGCTTATATCTGCTGAAATACTTGTTTTAGGGAGGATCTGGCAATTTATGACATGTACTTCTACTGCTCCTAAAAGTGCTGCCTCATTTAGAAATTAAGGACAAATGTGTATTCGTATTGAGAATTACATGCTTGACATAGCATACTAAATCCTATCTAATATGAAATATCTGCTTGGATCTGAAGAGATTCCTTTTTCATTTATAACTCTGTATGTGTGACTATCACTGTTTCTATGTATCACAGAAATTAAAACTCAGAAATTCAGGCATATCTTGGTGTGCATGTCATGGTTTAACCTCAGCCAGTAAGTCCCACACAGCCACTCACTCACTCCCCTATTATCCCCCTCAGGTGAGGAGAAGTACCACAATAGAACTTGTAGGTCGAGATAAAAACAGTTTAATAATTGAGACAAAATAAGAGATTATAATAATATCAATAATGCTAATTATAATAGTAAACATATATTATTAATAAGAATTGTAAGGAAAATGAGAGATAGAGGAATAAAACCCAAAAAAAAGAAATTATACACAATACAATCACAATTAGCAAAATCAAGTAGACCACAGTGACTTTCAAGGTCATCATCCCCAGACACAGGCAAAAAGGAAGTGTATTTCACCCAGTGGACTTCAAGTTTATTCTACAAAATTCAAGACCAATACACTAAATGGCATGTGACAATAAGATCAGATATATTTTGTGTTTAAATCTTTCCCAAGCCCTTCAGCCAGTGACTTGGCTATCTGATGACTGACAAAAAAAGTGTCAACAAAACTGTTACAACTTTCTTGTTTTGTGGAGGGAGGAGAAGAAAAGCTCATTTCCACTTAATTTTTCAGGCCTGGAATCATTTGTCATTTGCTTTCCTGAGTTCCTAAAATTACTGATGGTCTTGTTAAGAGTGAAAGAAAGTAATGGGAAGACAGGTGGAGTCTTACATAAGGAAGCTTTTTATTTTTAATCTCTATGAGCTGGTGGCACCTGGTGTACCAGTTCTTCCTACTGTTTGATAAAACATTATCAAATTTTATAATGCATTCTAGAAAATTATCTCTCATGGCATAAACACATTGTTCCTGAGTGGCATGTTGAAGTGCCTCAGAAAAAGGATAAATATTGGTTTTGGCCCAGACTGTGACTCTAAAACCCCAGAATAACTGTTTTCATTTTTGTCTCTTCTACCATTCCAAGACTCCATGGATCAGAGTTTCCATCAAAGTGTGCAATGATATATTATCCATGTACATGTCATTCTGCTTTAAAAAAGACAATGAACTGCAGCTCTCATTAACATTTACAAAGCCAAACCTCCTCATTAGAAGTGAGGGAGAAAAGGGCATGATATAATTAAATAAAGTTTGCATCGAACCATAACCAAATTTGAAGCCAGAGAGTTGTAAGTAGCATCATTATGTCATGAATATCTAAAGCTTCACTGTGGTACAAGCAGGACAGGCGTGATGGTTGTTTTTTTTCAGGGTTCTCAAGGAACATCTCGGGGAACAGGAGGTTTCCATCTCACTGATTCTTGACTCAGTCGAAGAGGCAGACCTAGGAAATTATTCCTGCTACGTCGAGAATGGGAATGGACGTCGGCATGCCAGTATTCTTCTACACAAAAGGGGTAAATATGCAGCTTTTCTCCATGAAGGGGTAAAGTGTAGGGGTGGTCAGCTTGTAGGGATTCCTTCTGATGCAAGCATGAATTTTAACTTCCGAAGAATTAATAGTCAATCGTTATTTTTCCCCAGGAATTTGTACGACTTGCAAAGTAAAAGAGAAAGGATATTGTTAATTATGGCTGTCACTGGAAAAAATGCAGTAATGCCTTTTGACTAGATCTCTATAAAAGATGCATTTAATAATTCATTAACTTTAAAATTAATGAAGGCTCAATAAGGAAAAAATAGTAGGAAACCACAGGTGATACAACGCTAATAATTTTCTGCAACAAAAAGAAATCAAATTTTAGGAAAACCAAAACCAAAAACCTTCCACTTCTATCAGAAATGCCACCTAAACCCCATGCCAGGGGGTTCCTGCACAGCCTGACATGGAAATTTTCCTTCCAACACTTGTTTGACATCAACATTTCTGAAGTGAAACATCATGACAGAAGCTTCTAAGAACCCTCCTGTTTCTCCTCACTGCTCACATCCCATGATCCCAGCCTGCCTAATGGCCACAGCCATCTCCCACCGAGATAATTACAGGGAGATGGAGAATCTCCTGCAAATCAAAGCTCCCAGACCCACCTTGTCCACTTTACCTCCCAGAGGGGGCTCCACATCCCTGGGATTGGCACTTCCCATCCTCATGCAGCTTCCTGTTGACTTCAGAAAGCAACAAATAAGCAGGAGCCGTGTCTGCATTTTGGTGACATTCCTGAGATTTTTCTAGACTGTAGAATTGAGCAAACCAGGATCTTACTGTGGTGCTGAAGTACTTGTGGCATCTCAATTTACATCAAAGATGTGATATCTTCCCTAAATTTAGTTTTGTAGCATGCAAAGTCTGTCTAAGTATAGAAGGAAACCATAATTCAAGATAGTGTGACCAATTTATTTAAACATATTATTGGGTCCCTCCAATTTCTTGTATAGAACTTCATTCGTAGTCATTTTTCTAAACTCTTGTCATTGGTTCTTAAAAGATGCAGATGTGAATTACCAGATGCTTTACTTAGCCTGACATTTGTCATATTTTCTTGAATTTTCTGAGATGAGAAATTAACTTAATAAGTAGTTGAACCTCAACAGTATACCAGCTAATAGTCATATACTCTGGTTCAGAGACATTTGAACCCAGAGGAAGAGCTTAACCCAAAAAAACACTGAAATCCAGCAACTTGCTCCAAATAATCAAATTACTTGATGGAATATTGAAAATAAAAAATTTTAAGGGTCAAATTACTTTAAAACCAATATTTATTTAACTGATACCTATTAAGTTACATGATGATGGCTAGTCCTTAGTTTATCTTCCATATAAGCAGTAGCTCCAAGACTGAAAACATGTCTTCTCTGTTCTGTGACCACCAGATCTCTAATTTAACTTTGTGCATGCATGAATTTTGCAAGAATCTACTTTCCTTGCTCCCTTTCTTAGAGAGCTCAGTAAGTCAAACATACCACAGTATGTGGCCTCCTGATAACATGCTTAAGAGGGAGTAATTTCAATATTTAATTGCCCTTATAAATAGTAAAAGGAAAAAAATAGCAGAAAAACTCCCCAATTTTTTTTTTTCCTCTTTAAGTAAGGCTGAATATGGAATAGATTTGGAAGTAAAATCTGTTGTGCCCTTGAAAGACAAAAGGTACCAGATACAATCCTTCTACACATTTTGCATGTTGACAACTGTTTCAGTGAAATGATAAATTAAGCATGGCAGATAAAAATTTGAGCTAGTCTCTCAGGTCTCCTAGGAAGAGGAGTTTTGCACTGCTTGCTTAGTCTCCTGTATATCACCATGACAACCTCTCAGTTTAGGTTTCCTTGTTTAGATCCATATTTAGCCTCTGCTAGGAGTGAGTTAGCTGTTTATTAATTTCTGATTATTTGGCTGACTTAGACCAATTGGGACTTAACAATTAGGTAAATTTGCTTCCTGAACACCAAGACATTTGCAGATGTAGTAGCTTTGGCTGGTTTTCTAGTTAGCGATCTTCTTTTCCAGCAATATGAGTACAAAAAAGATGAATCTGGAATGTTCACTGCATACCTGAAAAAGAAATTATAATCCCTCTTCAACTTCCTGTGTAGAACATTACCACCAGGATCAGAAGGGACAGCAAAGCAGAAAACTCTGCTGCTGAACAAAGAGAGCTCCTGGGAAAAGTATTTAGGGCTAAATGCTGCAGTGGGTGTTTAGGTACGAAGTTTAAGCTTTCAAACACCCTTGCAACTGCTGCTTCACCCAGGTCATTAGAGTTTCTGTACACTGAAAAGTCCAGGGGGAGATCTGAGACATACCTATGCTTACCCAGGCCCTGAAAGCATAAGACGACAACAAATCTAAATCACCACAAAAAGCCTGGATACATCTTCCTCAATATTCCCCCTGGTCAGCCTGGCAGGGACACACTCTCACGACCAGGGTGAGCAGGGGCCATCAGAGGGTGGTGCTGGCCCAAACCAGAGGCTGGTTCATCCAGCCAGGGGAAGGGACTCTGCTCTTCCCTGGTGTGACACTGCAATGGGCAGCCAGAGCCTCTCCTTTCCTGGCATGAGCTAATGTCAGGAGGGGCGCAGAACACTGCCCCTGGACTCCACCACCACTTGTGCAGGAAACTGAAGCCAATTTCAGGGTCCAGCTCTGGGAAAAGCTGGGGGCCCTGGTACATCCCTCTAGTGCAAACATCAGTGCTCTGTATCGTAGGCAGCCCAGCTCTTATTTTCTCCTGAAACTTCTTTTACTTTTTGACTCCAGTGGAGAAAGCCTATGATCTATGTTGTTCTCCTGCCCGCTAACCATTTTTCAAGTCCTAAATTTCCTCAAATGTTCCTGTGCATAAGGAACATTTAACTCAAAGCTAAAGACAGTAGAGCATTTTAACCATGACAATGACAATTCTGTTTCCTTTTTCTAATTAATTCCAACAAAATTTGTAAAAAAAATAGGAAAAAGAGAGCAATCAGAACCCAAAATATTTAACTTTCATCCCATTCCTTCACCTTCGGACCAAATCCCTGTCACCCTTAAAATAATCAAGTTATTTTCTCTTTTGGGTGGGAAAAAAATCTACTTGGTATAATCTAAGGTTGATTTTGTTACTTACTGGTGGTAGGTGTCATTGATCATCCAGAGGAGTTACAGGTTAATCTTCAGCTAGGTAGAGGAACCTTCTAGAAATTAATTTTGAGGGTGGTACTGACAGCAGCTAAGCAGAAATTTATTAATGACAGACCACAGTTTGCAGATAATATAACAGGTGGATCACAGACTACAATTCCATTTTTTTCATAAGTTTTTTAATTAAAGAAGACAAACTTATAATCTATTAATGTAGTAGATAAAAATTCAATGCATTAGGAAGAAGAATGCTTTTCTGCAAAGTTATGTATTGACAAGTATGACTTTCATGCAGGATCAAAGTCTTCATAATCTTATTTATCATAGACTGTGTTGTAAATACAGGTTATTATCTAATTATGTGATTATTTTTTTGAAAGTCCTCTCTGTAAGTCAGCAAGTAGAACTCTACAGCAAAAATAATCTCAAATTCTATCTTGGTTTTATGCTTTAAGTGGTATGGATATTATTTTAAAAGCTTAATAATAATATTGGTATTTTTCCTGGGACAGATGCCAGAACTAAGGTAACATGCTTTCATGCATTTTTAAAAGTATCTACTTCCCTTCCTTCCCATTTTCATCTACACAGTATTATCATCAAATTTCCTACCCTTAGCCTCTTTAATGGTTTCAGTTTGTTTTTCTCTGTCATAGGTGTTCTCAGTAGGCATGTATGAATCCTGTTGACTGTAAATTAATGAGGGTAGTTAAAACAAATTTGGGGTTTTTGTTCCTGTCAAGAAAAAAAAATATTTTCACTGAAATAAATTGTTTAGAGAAAGAGTGTGTTTAAAATTGCCCATGAAAAGATATATTTGAAAAATATGCAAGGTAATATTTCCTAGATTGAATACATCTTGAGGAAAGCTACCTTATTTAAAACTCATCATTTTTTTAATGCATAAGCATTATATTATTATTTCCTGTGCAATGTAATAGCAAATTATGAATAGAAAGTAATTCCAAATTATCTTCATATGGCTATTAATGAGAATAGAATGGCTGACAAGCACCTTAAATTGCAGTGCCATTCACATAATAGTGTAAATCTGGTTTATTACTTACAGACTAGAATGTGTTATATGCGTTTTCAGTCAGTTGCACAGAATTTCACACAGTGGTAGTGATGAGTGACAATTAAGACTTAAAAGAGAAAAGAAATTAGTTCTTTTCTAACCTCTGCAAAGAAACCCCAGGTATTATATCTCCTTTTACCAAAAAGCTTCACAATGCTTCTGAAATTTCTGAAAGGAAACTCATCATATGAAATATGAGAACAATGAGTTATATTTCAGCTTCTGCTAGTTGGACCTGAGCACTTGTTCACTCCAGTGAATCTCTGAGTCCTAGTGGAAGCTCAGCTGAAGAACTCCAATCCACATGGTCAGTTCTGATCTTACATGAGTCTATCTTCCACTTTATAAGGCATTCTTTTTTTATTCTGCACTGCTGAAAAGGCTTTCCTGAGACCCTCATCAGGTTTTAGAATTGGAATTGAAATTGAATTGGGTTTGATGTAAATTGATTTTTCACTCACCAATGGCCATTGAAGAAGCCTTCAAGTTGTCACTGTGCTTAGCAGTGCAAATGTTCATTCTCCCAAGATGTTCCTGACACAAGGCCAAAGGTCAAGTATCAGCTCTCTTCTTGCCCAAACCTAACTAAACATTACTGTCCTTTCACATTCAACCTCATCTAAAATTAGTCAAGGAATGAAATACTAAAGACCTCTGCCTGAAAGAAACTCTTCACGAGACCACTCTTAATCAGTCTGGGTTTTTTCATACTTTATAAAATTGGACTAAGATAACTCCAGTAAAAAAAAGTTTG